GTGGCAATTACCACCACAGGAGGGAGCTGAGCAAGCCTCCCACGTTCTTCAATCATAGTTTTGAGCTGCCATACAGCAACCCTTACTTTGAACCCGTCAACTCACCCCTCCAGAACAAAGGGCGGGTCAAGCACGAGAGCCTGGATGACTTGCAAGCGTCCACTTACTTTGGACCCACAACAGTTTCTGAGTGTGTGAGCAACAGGAGGACTTCTAGTAAGCATGGCAGACAACCAGCCTGGCCTGTCAAGAGCTTGAGTTTGAATACCGAAGAAGGTCCTGATTTTGAGAGGTCCTTTTTGAACGGCAAAGTGCCAAAGGACAATCACCGTCACAACATTGGCACCATGGAGAATGACCAACACTTTCAGTGTGCAAAGGACAAGCCCACTGCCTCTCCCTCAGGTTTCTCCAAGAAGTCCAATGGAAGCAAAACTAAAGACATGTCTTCTGTTGCTTGCGGACCTGGTATTGAGAAAAGAGAGGTTGGGAGAAGATACAAGGACAAGAGTATCAACTGTCCATCTTTTCAGTCAAGTAATGTGGACAACGGCATGAGTGTCGGGACTCAGACGGAACAACATGAGTCCAGGAAGGTGAAAGATTATCCCAGTCAAAACAAATTTAAAGAGAGGCCACCCTTCAAACACTCAGAGGAAGACTCTGAGATCGTCAGCGACAATATTAGTGACATCTTTCGCTTTCTGGATGATATGAGCGTGTGCGAATCTCTTGGAGTTGTGCAGCCATCATGCTATAACAGCAACGGCTCACTGTCTCAGGTGACTAAATCAGATGGGGACAGCTCGCCTGAACGAAACACTATTAAGATTGGCAAAACTGGGATCAAACTCGACCGACTTTTCCAGTCACTGGAGAACTCTGATGATGAACTCAAAGAGAGTGTTTGCAAACTGGTACTCAGGATTGGTGAGATTGAGAAGAAGCTCGAGTCCCTTTCTGGGGTGCGAGGGGAGATCTCTCAGGTGCTCTCAAAGCTTACTAGGCTGGATGAAAAGATTCAAGAGCCAGAGGTGAATGGGAAATCGAGTGATGGTGGTCTGGTGGAACAGATAAAGACTGATGCCAACCTCTCGCCTCATGTTTTTCAATGTCACACCACTGGGCACAACATGAAGGTGGAAAAAAGTCCAGAGTGGTGTTGCTCGGAAGCTGATGGGAGTGAAAGCCTGAGGGTAAAAGCTTTAAAGAAAAGCGTTTTCACTCGCAGGTCATCCAGGTCACTTAATGAGGAGAACAGCGCCACTGAGTCCAAAGTGGCCAGCATCACCAATTCACCTCGAGACTGGAGAACAGTTTCTTATTCCAGTCACAACGGGGAGGAAGGCAAAGAAAGAGATCGACATAGTGAAGGCAAAGAACGGCATAGGAAATCCCGAGAGGTAAGACAAATGAATTTCTTCTTTGTGTATTTACTATGTGTTGAATTAGATTTTGCACCGTGTTATATGCTAGATTTTTCTAAACTTGTTAGATCACTTGAGACAATACCGTAGATTTGAATCCCTTAGACAGATTACTATTTAACTCAAATGTCTAATTCTTTTATTTTGACCTGAATATATTTCAAAAGGGATGACACGGGGGCTCAGTGGCTAACACTGTCATCTCAATGCAAGAAGGTTGCTGGTTCGAGTCCTGGCTAGGCCAGTTGGCATTTCTGTGTGGAGTATTCTCCCCATGGTCGCATGGGTTTACTCCAGGTGCTTCGGTTTCCCCCACAGTCCAAAGACATGCGGTATAGGTGAATTGAATTAACTAAATTGGCCATAGAGTATGTGTGTGAATTAGTGTGTATGGATGTTTCCCAGTACTGGGTTACAGCTGGAAGGGCATCTGCTGTGTAAAACATATGCTGGATAAGTTGGTGGTTCATTCCACTGTGGTAGCTCCTGATGAATAAAGGGACTAAGTGGATTGATGGAAACCAAAGTTGGATCAAATATGGACAAAATCAATGTGATGATAACAGAACAGATAAACAGATTCAAACACATTCACTTACCTAAGTTATCCATGAAAACCTGAGGCGATTCTGGTGCTCACGTCAGCCATCAGCACATTGGTTCTCACACACAAATTCTTCCTAGTTGCTTTTCCATCAGCCGGTCAAACAGAGCGCCTCCGAGTGGCCTGGCTAAATAGTGCCGAGTTCACTGTGGAGCGCACCAGAGCAACTGGAAACCGACTCTTTCATTGTCTTCTGGATAGGGGGGGAAACTTTTTTATACTTATCTTTATTTATCTATATATTCATGTTTATATCTTTATACAATAATTTATTTTGGTTTACTTTGATTAATTGTGACTGTTTGGGGTCTAATGTGTTTTAAAAAATGGACTTGAGAACATGTACAGATGTTTTTATTTACCTTTTAATTAGTGCATGTTGGTTTTTGTTAAAGGGGTGGGGCTTCACCTATAAAGGGCAGCCCCAAACAGCGATTCGAGGTCAGTTAACCTGGCAAGCGAGCAAGCTATTGTGGTGTCATATGCAATTTGTGACCTGTCTGTGTATATTAGCGGAATTTCTATTTAGTTTATTTATTTATTCTTTGATTTTTAGTTATTTTGTTACTTTGCTGAGTTTTTGGATTATTTTGGTTTTTACTCTCTACACTGTAAATAAACCATCGCTTTACATCAGTGAGTTGGGCCATAATTATTTTTTTGGAGGTTTTTCTCGTTTTACCATACTTTGAGAACCCACTATGAGCCTTCCTGGTTCGTCAACCCCACCCTCAACCATTAGGTTAAAATTTTAAATTTAATTGATAAAATTTACCCAATATTGGATTTGTCTGTATTTAATAACAACAATAATAATAATAATACATTTTATTTGTAATGTTCTTTTCTTAAACTCAAAGCGCTATTTGATCCAGTTTTGGATTACAACAACCCAAGATTTTTTAGTGTAAGGTTAGTGAGACATAAACAATCTATACTTTGTTGTGATCATCAATCAATCGGAGTAGAATTGCTGAAACTAAATTCTATACACTCTAAGGAATGGTGGATTGTGAAAACCCATTTTTTGGTCAAATATGGACAAACTCAACATTGTGTTATTTGTTGTTTTTAATCGAATTTCAATTGAGTTGAGTTTGAGAATTTGACCCAACATTGAGTTTCAAAAACCCAGCACTTTTGACAGTGTGAGTTTTTTGATGCGTTATGTAACATTTTAGCAAGTCCACCATTATATACCAGTTACTGATTACTGGGCAGTAGCAACTGTTTTATACTATTGGAAGTAGTCATTACATTGTAAGAGCTTGGTTATTATGTAAACGCAAAAACTGTAGTCAAATAAACAAACAAATCATTATGGCAAGTGCCCACATACCTGATTTTAGACAAAACTACGAATGTTACGTCACCTTATGAATATTTACGAGAAAGGTTGTTATGGTTGTCAAATCACTCCTACACCTTTACATGGTTTTCATTGGTTGACACCCCTAGGTTGTTATGCTCAATTACCCTCAATCAGTTCGCGAAGTACACGCAGTCATGTTGTTCTGGAAGCAAGCTAGCTTTTATATCATATCTCTAATAGTACAGCCACAGTCTCTTGCGGTGCAATTATCACCCAATTTACCCATTTTATTCTACATCTAGGTGTACTTTTAGCCCAGACAGGGGGCACAGACTGAGCGCAGGGCACAGTAGAAAAGCAGACAAATAATTTTAATTCAATCTCCCTAGAGGAGCAGGGATTTTATGGCAAATTGGTCCTGTAAACTATTCAGCAGCTCTCAAGGTAATATGTTGACATGCCTGCAAGCCGAGGGTTCAGTACTTTGCTGTATTGAAAAGCCTAAATATAAACAAGCTTGAGAAATCCATGAATACTTCAAGATAAATATGTTCCATCATTGGTTCTAGAAGATAGGACTCAAGGTATTGAAAAAAAAACAGTAAATAATTTTCTCGTTATTACATGAAATTTCACAAAAAGTGAACTGAAAGGATGTCATGACCTGCGTCTTTAGTAAGGCAGGCTGTCTGCAGCGGTCTCTCTGTGGGTAGTAGAATATGGCCTTCATTTCTAATCACATGCATTAGGAACAACAGGAAGAGGAGACCATCTTTTTTCACAGGACTACTTGTAATGTGCTGAGATACATGTTGTTTTCTGTTCTATTCGATTCTATTCTATTCTGTTCTGTTTTATTCTATTCTAATATATTTTATTCTACCACTGTCAGTTTGAATCTACAGTATAATGGTCTGTTCAGTTACATTGTTTTCTTTTAACATTCTATTCTATTCCATTCTATTCTATTCTATTCTATTCTATTCTATTCTATTCTATTCTAACATTCTCAGTTTGTATCTACTGTGTAATTTTTAGTTCTGTTCTGTTCAATTGTTTTCATATTTTTCATTCTGTTTCATTTTATTCTATTCTATTACATTCTCTTCTGTTTTAATCTTATTCTATTCTGTTTTGGTCTATCATTCTCAGTTAAGAGGGTCACACACCAGTACACAGGCAACGCACTGCAGAGCGACATCTGATTAGTTTCACGTTAAATATCATGCGAATGTGTGCGTCTGGTGTGCTATACTTTTAACTGTCATGTGCGCGCCGTGTCGCGGCACCAAGTGGTGCATCCGGTGTATGACCTGCTTTAGCCTCTACAGTAGTTTTCTGTTGTTTTTTTCTTTCTATTCTGTTTCATTGTTCTCTTCGTATTGCATTCTACTCTATTCTAATCTCATTCTATTCTATTATATTCTATTTTAGTCTCAGTTAGCCTCTACAGTACAGGTTTCTGTTCTGTAGTTTTTCTTTCAACTCTGTTCTATTGTTTAATTCTTTTTGTATTCTATTCTATTCTTTTCTATTCTATTCTGTTATTCTACCATTCTCAGTTTGCATTTACAGTGTAATTTTAAGTTCTTTTCTGTTACATTGCTTTCAAATTTTTACATTGTATTCTATTCTAGCACTCTGTTTGCCACTACAGTACAATTTTCTGTTTGTTTTTTTTTTGTATTTTGTTCTATTATTTACTTGTTTTCATTCTATTCTATTCTATTCTATTCTGTTCTGTTATGTTATGTTATGTTCTGTTCTGTTCTGTTCTATTCTGTTCTGTTCTGTTCTATTTTACCAATCTCAGTTTGCATCTTCAGTATAACTTTCTGTTATGTTCTGTTACATTGCTTTATATTTGCATTCTGTTCTATTCTATTCTAATCTAATCTAGTCTATTGTAGTCCATTCTATTGTACTTTACCAATGTCAGTTTGCATCTGCAGTATAATTTTCAGCTCTGTTCAGTTACATTGCTTTCATATTTGTCTATTCTATTCTTCTAATTTTCTGTTCTGTTTGTTTCTTTCTATTCTATACCATTTTTTCTTCTTTTTGTATACCATTCTATTCTATATTCTTTTCTATTCTGTTCTATCATTTACAGATTGCCTCTACAGTATCATTTTCTGTTTAGTTTTTCCTTCTGTTCTGTTACATTGCCTTATCTATTCTATTCTATTCTATTCTATTCTATTCTATTCTATTCTATTCTATTCTATTTTATTCTATTCTATTCTATTCTATTCTATTCTATTCTATTCTATTCTATTCTATTCTATTCTTTATCCCTCTCTGTTTGCATGCACAGTATAATTATGTGTGCTGCTCTTTTTTACTTTTATTGTTTTATTATTTTTTTTCAACCTTTTTTCTCAAATCTATCCCACAGTATAGCTGTTTATATTTACACAGAATGTTTTGTTTTTATTCATAAATTTATTAATTTTTTTTTGGATTCTATTCTATTCTCATTTACCTTGTTCAGTTGTACTCTGTTTTTATCTTCTCAGAGCAACACTATCCCTTCATTCGTCTTGGGAATATTTTCAGTTTCTTCCTAGTTTTGCTCCTCTGCTTCTCGCTCTCGTCTTCTTGGCTAGCTGCCCTGGTTAGAATCCTGCCAGTTCCCGTATCGTCCCTTCTGATCTTTTGGGGAACTTGCGAGTGCCAAATGTTCCTGCCTCTCTGGGACGATCCAAGCTGTAGATAATTTTAGTGAATGATCGCACAGGGAGCCGGTGGTTAATCAAATTTCATTCACATTAATGAGAACACATAACAGCCCAGTGCCTATTACCATTCTGTGGCTGTTCTTTTGTGGTCTGGTTTATTTTTAGGTGAAGTGTGTATATTAAATCTGAGTGTAATATATAATCAACTATTTATGCTCATTTTCATTAAATTGTGGCATTTATTTGTAGGTTCGAAATAGAAAATATATCTCTATTTTATTCTATTCTTTTAAATTTAATATTATATTCTTCTATATTCTACTATATTCTAATATAATATTCTTATATTGTTAATTCCAATGTATTCAACTGGTTTCCA